CCTAATATACAGTGAACTCCAGGGCTGGATGACATCCACTTCCAAGGCTGCCTAACCTCTCAGAACATCCTCTATGCTAAATTCTTTAATTATATTCTGGTCCTTTGACCAGATTGCAGTGCCCACATTGTTGCTCTCAAGCGAATACCAACACAAAATATTCACTTAGACTCCAACTTACGTCCTCCAGCTCCATGCTCAAGTTATCATTTTAAAAATCTGACTTCCTCTAGTTTATAACTTTAATTTCAGGCCCATTCTTATCCTTTCCCTCAACTATCTTGAATCTAAAGGAGTTATGATTCCTGTCTGCAAAATGTTTCCTGATAGTTGAACTATTTGCCCAGCTCATTACATAAAATGAAGTCCAGGACAGCTATCTCTCTTGAAAGGCCTTCTATATACTGCTTTAAAAACTCTCCTGGATGCATTTTAAGAATTCTGTTTTCTCTAAATCTTTTATGATATGATTACCTCAGTTAACAGTCAGGAAGTTGAAATCTCTCCCTATGACTACTTCATTACTATTAGACTTCTCCAAAATTTGCCGACATATCCGATCTTCTATTTCTCTCCGGCTGTTAGGAAGCCTAAAGTACGCTCCAGGCAACGTGATTGCTCCATTTTGGTTTTTAAGTTCTACTCATATGGCTTTGAGAAGCCTTCTAAGATGTCATCCCTCCTTACTGCTGTAATTGTATTCAATGTTGAATCACCTCCTCCCCTGTTTCATCTGAAGGCCCTATATCCCGAAATATTGAGCTGCCAATCCTTCCCCTCTTTCAACCAAGCTTCAGAGACAGCAATGGCATCAAACCCCTTGTTTTAATTTTCCCTCAACTCATCTGCTTGGTTATCACTTCCTCGTGTTAAAATTAATACCATTAAACCTTACTAAAATCCCTTGTGCCTTAACTGGCTGACAAAGTCTATGCCGTGCTGTCTTTTCCAATTTTTGCCATGCATCTCCTTGTGCTGAACCTTCTCTCAAGATCCCAATCCCTACCAAATTAGTTTAAACCCTCCCCAACAGCACTAGCAAACCTCCAGCAAGGATACTGGTCCCTTTCTGGTTCAGATGCAACCCATCTGCCTTGTACAGGTCCAACCACCCCAAAAATCTAAAAGCCCTCCCTCTTGCACCATCTCTCCTGCCACACATTCATCTGGACTAACTTTCTATTTCTATACACCTTATGTCTAACACCCAGAATTAATATTTAAGTACACGGCAATCCCATGGATTTCTCAGCAATACCCCCCAGATGTTTATGAATTAATGAGTTAGCAAATCTCATTACATTTCATAAAGGATTGCAATTCTTGACTTTTGCTGATCTAGCCTTGAAATTCCCTTTCAAGTACCATTTCATCATGGTTCATGTTCCCCTGAAATATGAAAACTGCACTTCAGTACTCATTCACTAGCATAACTTCTGCTCTTCACTGAACCAGATGCATCCTTTGGTTTTCCCTGAGCTCTAACCTTGCTTGATCTTATGAAGTAAATATGACAAAAGGGCTTTTCAACTTCCTCTCTATGCAACGTGCAGAAGTATGCAGACTTTTTCCAAGCCTCTTACAGCTTTTCCAACATAAAGCCAACAACCTCCCACTTTCTCGGCTGCCCAGTATTTTTTCTGAATTCTGACTTCTACTCTTAGCTGTTAATTCCTAGAGTAGACTCATGGAAGTTTACAGCACAGGAGGCAGCAATTTGGCCCTTGTGCCCATGCTGAACAAACACGACTACACTGATCCAATTTTCAAGCTTTTGCTCATAGTCCTGGAAGCCAAGGCACTCCAAATGAATTTTTAAATTCTGCTTAAATATTACAAGTGTCTCTGATTCAATCTCCCTTTCAGATAGTGACTTGCAGATTCCCACCATCTTCAGTGAAATAAAATTCTCAACTCTCCTCTGTCTTCTAACTCAACTTTAATCTATGCCATCAGGTTATTGACCTTTCAACAAATAGAAAGAAAGTGCCTGTTTATACCTCTCAATCTTAGAACTTGTCTGATGTCCCCCTCAAACTTGGACACTCCAAGGAAAACAAGTCCAGCCTATCCAATTTTTCCTCTTAGCTCAGACCCTGCAGTATACTAGTAATTCTCCTCTGCACCTTCTCTAATGCAATCACGTCCTTGCTACGATGTGGTGACGAGAACTTTATGTAGTACACTACACCAGTTAAATCTAACCAGCATTTTAGTTATTTTGAATTGACCTGTTCAGACATGTTATGATACCCTTCTGCCGCAGGTAGGACCTGAACCCTGACCTTCTGGCCCAAAGGTAGGGATACTACTACAATGCCACAAAAGTCTAAAGTCATTAACCACCATTTTATACAGTGCCAGCATACCTTCCAGCATACAGCTATCCTCCTCACTAAATTACCAACCTACCAATTTTCATGTCATCAAACTTCTTGATCATACCCCCTATATTTAAGTCCAAACGATTAACATGCATCACAAAGTGCAAGGCCACAGCAACAAGCACTATGGAATCCTACTGGAAGCAGACTTCCATCCACAGAAACATTCCTCTACCATCACCCTCTGCTTCTGGCCTCTCAGCTAATTTTGGATCCAATGTGCCACTCTGCCTCGGATCCCATGGGCTTTTAATTTCTTACCTAATCTACCAACCTTCTCAAAATTATTGCTAAAATCTATGTAGACTACATCTTTTACATTGCCCTCATCAATATTCCTGAATCACCTCAAAACATTCAAACAAATTTGTCAAACACAACATTCCCTTAACAAATCCATGCTGACTATCCCTGGTTAATCAGTATGTCACTGCATGCATAGATATTCCGTGTTCCAGAATTCTTTCTAATAACTTGCCTACCACTGGGGTTAGAGTGACTGGCCCTCTCCATCCTGAGTTTGTTCTAACAGCACAGAGCCATCCAACTGCTCTTGCTACAGTATCAGCAATCTGCCCACCCCTTCTGTTTTTAACACGCCTCATTCACTGAGAAGTGTTGTGACACGTCCTGAAAGCACTGTAGTAGTCATGGAATTGTGATTTGAGAGCTCTTGTGGTACAGTGGCAGTGTCCTACCTTTGAGCAAGGAGTCCTTTGTTCAAGTCCCACCTGCTCCAGAGATGCATGATAACACCTCTGAACAGGTTGATTAGAAAATATCTACAAATGTGATTCTATTTTTCTTTTACTGTCTCTCTTTAAAATGTCAATGAACTGACTTACAATTATTTTAATTTTCATTTTTCTTTAGGAAAATTATCCATTATTCAAAATCTAATTAACATGTCAAAAAGGGCAGAATTAGCCCTGGTACTAATTATCAAACTTATATCCGACTCTTTCCAAAATAGCATAAACACACTGACTGCTTTAGTAGAAATATTGGCCAAAATACGCAATGCAGTCATGTGATGGAAAATAATACTATTATTCTACTGAACGAATAAGTTATGTTACATACTTCAGAGGATAAAATTGTGGAACTTAATGTTGGCCAGTTAGTACATTCCTACTGGTCAGTTTCCATCATCCTACCAAAAAGATAACTTGAAATGAAACAGTGGCACCTGTTACTGAAGTGGGATAAATTATTCTCACGTTCAGGGGATTCTTTGCGTGTCCGCCACCCCTATTATACACAAACACAAACATACAATCTCTAATAATTGCCAAATATATTCAAAACTGTCCTGTTGATGCAGGAAGTTTGGAACTAGTGAAGATTTCAGTAGCTCCCCAATCCGGTGCGGTACGTTTGAATTTGTTTTTTTCTAAATCATTGAAATAGTTTTTTTAATACTTGTGATTACACAAAATAAAAGTAAACCTCTATAAAATGATAGTCCGAATATAGCAAAATATTTATGAGGAGCTAGAAACACAATACGTATAAACTTATTGTATTTTACCAAGAAGGTTTAAATAGTTGGAAAACAAATCTCACATTCAATCATTTCAAAAAAATGGATTCAAACAATCTGTCTGCATGAAATAACAGTAGATATGTGGATTAGTATCACGGATTAGAAAGTTAGACCTAAAGCTATGAGCTGGTGACTTTGTTAATGCTCGGATAAAATTGTTGCATTAAATTTAAAGCCATTTGGTTAAAATCTGATTTCAACGGACCCAGCAACATTGATATACATTATATTTAAATCGTAAAACAAAATTGTTTTTGGCTCTGCTCATCACAGTCACTCATCTAAACTGAACTAAATGCAGAGTTCCACAGTGATTTATAACATGACAATTGAATCAAAAGAATTTCCAGCCGTTTTCAACGTCACTTTGCTAAATATGGGACTGCCGGAGCCTCACATTTCAGTCACTGCTCATCCAAAGTCGTCTTAAAATGTAACGTAAAAGCATTGCAGACCGGCATGGTGGACGGATGGCTGAAGAAATTAATCCAAAAAGCTTTGAGACAAAATGTTTCTCAGAATGACATTTAAAACTATTTTCAACTTCTGCGGTGTGTTAAAAAGTGTTTTAAAATGGCAAATACTCTGCTTTGACTACAAATTCAAAATTGACACAATTACATGCTTTTTTAAAAAAAAGGTTGGGACTCTCAAAGAGTCTACAGAGGCTAGTGGAGTGCTAGTAGCTAGCAGTGGCTAAAGCTAGTAGCAAGCCAATAACTTAAACCAAAAAAAAAGGTCCGGTCAGCATACTACATTTAAACTGGTGTCAGTTGTGATAACTTTTATGTTAAAACCCAGCTCACGAACACAAGAGGGGGAAATGCCTCTGATTAATCAACTCAATGGATCCTGTTTCACTGACTGAAAATATCATTAAATTTTTTTAAAAAAAAGCGAAATAAAACTCAAATTATTCCCCGATGAACCATATAAAGTTCACGAAAAGCAAACAAAACAAGTTGTTCTTCCCGCTCAAAAATGTTTGCAAAACTAAATTACGCCTTTAAACTTTTTTTTAAACAAATGATTAACATTAATACAAACACAATGTCCAGCCTTATCCCTACCTTTTTGCGGCTGTACAACAAGGAGAGTAACCATGAAGGTGAAACAACTTGCAGCTGTGAACATCTTTAGGTTTCGGTGCCGAAAGCAGCAGCTGGTCCGGACTGCGACTGCCACACTCCCCACTCACAGCGAACAGGCGGTCTCAGGTAGCCAGAGGAAGACTATCCACACGCACACAATTCCGTAATTCTCCTCTTCCCAGCTCCCACTAACCCGAAAACCACTACCTCCCTCCTCCGACTGACAGTGGAAACACCACCTCTCTCAATTCTGCCCCCAACCTATCGATCAAATGCAATTATCCCGAAACCATCGAAATTCTTATATCGTCCTTAATATGGAAGAAATAGGAGTTCTGTCATTCACAGATACTAGACAAGAGTAGATTGAAGGAGAGATAGACATCAATCGCCTCAACCTCTCCCCCGCAGAACGTGCAGCCCTCCGCTCCAATCCCAACCTCACCATAAAACCTGCGGACAAGGGAGGCACAGTTGTAGTATGGCGCACTAACCTCGACATCGCTGAGGCCAGACGCCAACTCTCTGACACCTCCTCCTACCACCCCCATGATCATGACCCCACCCCTGAGCACCAAACCATCATCTCCCAAACCATCCACAACCTCATCACCTCAGGTGACCTCCCACCCATGGCCTCCAACCTCATCGTTCCCCAACCTCACACTGCCCGCTTCTATCTCCTTCCCAAAATCCACAAACCTGAATGCCCTGGTCGACCCATTGTC